ACAAACAATTGCAAAAAAAAAGCAATAAATGAGAATAAAAAATTTCAAAATATAGGTTTTTTTAAAAAAAAAAAGGATAAAGGAAAGATGATGAGAAAAAGAGGGAGGAAAGCCACAGCCTCTGGGAAAGGAGGAATGAGAGAAAAGAGAGAGTAAAGGAATAGTGAAAAAATGGGAAAACTGCAAAAAAGAAAAACAACAGATGGGAAATATCAAAAGAAAGGAATAAAAAAGGAAGAAAGGAGGAAGATAAAAAGAATAATTTAAAAACAAACAATCAAAACCAAAACTGTTGGGGGTGGGGCATGACACCCAGGCTCTGTCAGAGCATAGACCAGAATGAAATTCCTGCTGCTCAAGAAGGTGTGTGGAGGCAGGGGATGGCCACACCACTGTTCACCAAGAGCGTGTGGAATGTAAGAGGAACAAAGGAAATATGGTACCTGTCCAGTCACCAGCCTCCAGTGTGGCCGTCCATGCTGTCCTCAGCAAGCAGAACCCACTCATGTGTCACCATCTAGGTAAGAATGCCATCTGCATGTGCTCAAAATGGTTGCACCCACTGAGTACAAACATCAAAATGCTGCACTCTCAGGACAGCCACTGCAGTCCATAAGTCTGTTTGTCTCCTTTGCTGTTTTCCTTTCTGGTTGTCAGGCAGCAGTGCAGTCCTTGCCCATGCAGGCCTTTGTGAGCAGACCTGATTCTCAAGTTACTACCAGGAAATGTTCAAAATGGCTGTGACCTCAGGACAGCCAGCTGTCTGCAGCTCCATTTGTCTCCTGAGTCACTGTTTTCATTCAGGTTCTTCTACTAGTTGGTATTTAATCCACTTGTTTATCCTTCCCTCCAAAGCTCAGGGTTCCAGGATCATCTTCAGTGTCCATTTCAGCCAGTTTCTCACTGCTTTGTGGCGGAGGGCCTGTGGAGCTTATCTGCCTAGTCCACCATCTTGCCAGAACATCCTCACCATTCTTATTTCATCCGTATGCTGAGCAAATAATCAAAGAAGCTAGATTCTATGAGGAAGAACAGAGCATCACGACCGGAGGAAGACCCATTAACAACTTGCAATATGCACACGACACAACCTTCTTGCTGAAGATGAAGAAGACTTGCAGCACTTATTGATGAAGATCAAAGACTATTGTCTTCAGTATGGATTATACTTCAACAGAAAGAAAACAAAATTCCTTACAACTGGACCAGTAAACAACATCACAATAAATGGAGGAAAAATTGAAGTTATCAGGGATTTAATTTCACTTGGGTCCGCAATCAATACCAATGGAAGCAGCAGTCAAGAAATCAGACATTGTCATGCCCTGGGCAAATCTGCTGCAAAAGACCTGTTTAAATGTGAAGAAGCAAAGATGTCATTTTGAACTAAGGTGCACCTAATCCAAGTCATGGTATTTTCAATAGCTTCATATGACAGCTCTTGTTGTTGTTGTTGTTGTTATGAGCCGTCAAGTTGGACCCGACTCAGAACAACCCCTCCTTGGGTTTCCAAGGCAGTATCACTACGGAAGTAGATTGCCCAACCTTCCTTCCGAGGAGTGGCTGGTGGGTTTGAACTGCCAGCCTTCTGGTTAGCAGTCAAGTGCATTAGACAGTGAATAAGAAAGAATGAAAAAGAGTTGATACAGATGAGTTGTGATGTTGGTGAAGAAGACTGAACATACCATGGACTGCCAGAAGAACTAACAAATCTGTCCCGGAAGTGCAGCCAGGATGCTCCTTGGAAGCGAGAATGGCTAGACTTTGTCTCATCAACTTTGATCTAGTTGTCAGAAGGGACCATGCCCTGGAGAAGGATATCATGCTGGGTAAAGTAGAGGTTCAGCAAAAGAGGGGAAGATTCTCAACAAGATGGATTATCACAGTGACTGCAACCATGGGCTCAAGTATAGCAAAGACTGTGAGGATGGCACTGCACAGGGCAGTGTTTCCTTTTGTTGTACAGAGATCACAATTTGGAGTTGGAGCTGACTCATAGCACCTAACACCACCAACAAGATATGCATCCAGAAGCTGGACAATGAATAAGGATGACCACAGACAAACTGATCCATTTGAATCGTGGTGTGAAAGAATATTAAAGACACCACGCACTGCCAGAAGAACAAACAAATCTGTCTTGGAAGAAATACAGCCAGGTGTGCCTTTGAAGTGAGGATGGGGAGATTTCATCTGACATACTTTGGGCATGTTGTCTGCAGGGACCAGTCCCTGGAGATGGATGTGCTGCTTGGTCAGCACATCATCAAAAAACAGGAAGACCAGAAACAGATTGATTGACACAGCAGCAGCAACAACGGGCTCACACATAGCAATGTTTGTGGGGACGGTGCAGGACCAGGCAGTGTTTCCTTCATTCTGTTGTACGTAGGGTCACTATGAGCCACAGCAGAGCTGATGGCACCAATCAAAAACATTGACCTATAGCAAATTCACACAACAGAGTGTGTGATAGCAATAAAAAACCATGGAGAGGTTCTGGAGCTCTGGTAGCGTAGTGCCTAAAGCACTTGACTCCTAACCAGAAGGCTGGCAGCTCAAACCCACCAGCCACTTCTCGGAAGGAAGATGGGGCAATCTACTTTCGTAGTGATACAGCCTGGGAAACCCAAGGAGGGGTTGCTCTGAATCGGGTCCTACTGGATTCAGTAGGTTCTGTGGATGGTCCACATAACAACGACAACAACATGTGTATGGATGGAACCCAAAGCCCGGGGTGCTGGGGCTGGAGGTAGAAAAGGAGCTGACTACAGAGGGGCATGAGAGAAGTTCGCGGTGATGGACAAAGTCTCTAGCTCAGCTGGTGGTCACATGACTGTAAGTGTGTTCAAACTCAGGGAAGTAGACACAACAAGTGTGGGTTTTACCATGTTTAAATCCTATCTCAATAAACTCGACTTAAAAAAAATCCTGTTGAAGAGCATGAAACTGCGAGAATGAAAATGGCCAATTCAATAATAGGAGCAATGCACAGAGCACGGGGCACAGTGTGATTCCAACTTGTAGGAGGGGTCCGTACTCAGAGAGTGACAGCTGGAAGGGAAGGACATGGGCCAAAAGTAATAATGGCACCTTATGCAGAGGGAAGTATGATTTTTGCTTCCCTTTTGTGTGCCTAGGAGCTCTGCTGGCATAGTGCCTAAGGCACTTGACTTCTAACCAGAAGGCTGGCTGTTCAAACTCACCAGCCACTCCTCAGAGGGAAGGTTGGGCAATTTACTTCTATAGTGATACTGCCTGGGAAACCCAAGGAGGGGTCGCTGTGAGTGGGATCCGACTCAACGCCAGTGAGTTTGGTTTTTTTGTTTTTTGTGTGCGTTTGTGGATCAGGTGGTGGGGTGTTAACACAATCAACAGGAAAAAATGTTGGAAGGACTTGAAACCACGGCCACTTCTGCGGGTTTCTGGTGCTTTGCAACTTTAAAAGGTGGATCAAGCAACAGACAAACACACGTGAAGGAAAGCACCAGTAGGCGGGAGAGCCGGAGCGCGAGCGGAAGCGAGCCGGTTGGGTGAACCCGGCGGGCGCGCGAGTGGGGACGCGCGCACGGGGTGGAGTGGCGCTCGGGTCACACGCGCGCGCACGGGGTGCGCAGGCACGCACTTAGGGACGCGCGCACGGGGTGCGGCGGGCGCGCGGGGGCGGAGACTCCAGCGAGGGGTGGGGAGTGCACAGGGTGGCGCTTGTTCCTACATCTTTAGAGAGCATCCAGGCTGCCCTGGGCGGGCCGTGTCCCCATTGGCCGGCCCGAGAAAGGCCATCCAACCCTACATCGAGCACTTAGTGATCTGAACTGGGCCGGTGAGGGCCGCGAGATGTGGAGTGAGTTCCTTTCCTCTGGGGCCAGCCAGGGGGCAAGCAACCCTGTCCAAGGAAGGAAAGGCTGCGGGCCCCAGGACCAATTCCTTCCTTCCCTCCCCCACCTAATTCACTCACTCACTCACTGTTTCTTTCTCTCCTCCCCTCGGAAGAACGAGTGGCTGGTGCTGCGGTTGGAGGCGGTGAGTCACCGGGACCCTCTGCATCCATGACTGGCCTCCCCCAGGCCAGGATGGATGGGTGTGAGGACCTAGAGACGCGGTGCCGCCCCCCACCCCGGCCCTGCCTCCTCCCTGCCCTCCACCCCCGCCCCCGGAAGCTTGCTGGAAAAGTCCAGCTCTAAAGCCAGACTGCGCAGAGAGGGGCTACCCCGCCTCCTTGCCAACTTCCATTGCCAGCATCTCCAGTCTTTGAATATATTGAGCAAGTAGCGAAAAACGAGATTTGTGGCTGAAAAGTGCTTTTTTAAAAAATGGTGGATTCCACCTGCATCATTTATGGAAGGTCACAGTAAGGAGAAGAGGACGCACAAAAGTGAGGTTAAAGAGAAGTTTTTATTCTTAGTTTCCGGGGGAGGTTTACGGGTCCCTGAGAGGGGCCTGGGTGAGGTTCACGGGTCCCTGAGAGGGGCCCGAGAAGTCGCACCGCCTGGCTGGGGAGGGGAGGGTTTATAGTCTTGTGGAGGACCTAAGTGGGGACACTAAGGAAATGGTGGGGTCCAATTAGCTGTTAGCATGGGTCTGTACTTAATTAGCATGAGGAGGCTTCACAAGAGGAAGTTTGCCACTGCATGGGACTTCACAGTCTGGGCGGGTTCTGTCACCTCGGTTGTCTTATTAGGCTGTCTCATCAGGGCTTGACACTGGGAGGAAGCTGCTAACTGGAATGTTGGTGGCTTGGGTTTGCTTGGGCCTAACAATTTACTCAAAAGAAGCTGAAGCCCAGGGAGGGTGAGCGCCTTCCCAGTGCCACACAGCAAGTGAAAGACAAAACCAAGAAGCGGGGTCTGGTTCTCTGTGACTTCTTTGCCCAACTTGGCTCCAAGCCCTCCATTTTCTGTTTGGGGACCTGTCCAAGTCCCCATCTGCCCCGAGCGGACTGTCCACTCCTGCTGTCCCCAGAAACTGTCCTGGAATTCCTAGGCCCCATTCCCTGATCCATGCCCGATATTAAAGCTTCTCCCCCAACAGTCGTGGCCGTGGGGTCGGTGCCTGTGGTGCTTGGCGCCCTGGGCTTCACTGGGGCCGGAATCGCGGCCTCCTCCGTAGCCGCCAAGATCATGTCCGCAGCGGCCATCGCCAACGGAGGCGCAGTTCCTGCAGGCAGCCTGGTGTCTGTCCTGCAGTCAGTGGGTAGGTGCCCAGCAAGGCTCACTGTGGGGGCGGGGAGGGGGGAGGATATGGGGGAGGATCAGAGCCTCAGAGTGTCCAGCCCAGAAGCTGAGGCCTGGAGGGGGGACCATTCCAGTGGTTCTCAGCATCCCTGGTCCTTGTTCCTCCCTCCTTCCCTGTCTCTCCTCTCTGTCTCCTTCTTAATGAGGTTGCAGGCAGGAGTGGAGGGGTGAAGGTTGCTGGGTAGGCAGAGGGAGGGAAGGAGCCCGGGCCTGGGTGCATGATGTCTGGCCTCTGGGTCCAGCCCCACCCAGACTCGCTGGTGTCCTCAGCAGCTTCTCTCTCTAATGACCCTCAGTGACCCCTTTGTCGAGTGAGGGGCATGTAACTCTTCCGTCTATGGCTAGCTCTCTCTCTGTTTCTCAATTCTCATGAATTTACCCCATGACTTCTCCCTCTTAGCTGCTTCCAGCATCCTGTCCCCAAAGCAGAAACCTGGGGGATTCAGGATGTGGAGAAGGCAGCAGAGGGGGTCTGTGGGCCTTCTGAGGGGACTATGCCCCTGGCTACCGCATGTCCCCCTGAATTCACTCTCTGTCTCTTCCACAGGGGCTGCCGGACTATCCACATCTTCCAACATTCTCCTGGGCTCCGTGGGGTCAGCTTTTGGGGCCTGGCTAGGGGGTTCCAAAAAGGACTCCCCTCCACCTCCCCCAGGTGAACCCACAGGGGAAGAAGGGGACCCATCTCCGGGAGAAAATGTACCCAAAGCTGAACCTGTAAAACCCCCACTCAGGTCAGAGAAACATGAAAAATAAAGCCCCTGTGGTGACCACTGCCGCGTCCTTACTTCCTTCATCTGTGGGTGGGAGCTGGGAGCTGGAGCCACCAAGCTGTCCCGTCTGCACCCTGCCTTGTCATGGAGGGCAGAGCCAGGTGGTGGGTTGACCAAGCACCAGATCAGACATTGGTTGGGCCTAGCCTAACTGAGGATGTGCTGCCCTTCGATGGACCTCACTTTACCCCTCATTCAGTGATGACATTGACAAAGGTTACCATTGGGAAACAGTGATGAGGAGAGGCCAGGGCCTCCATCCTAAGCCAGTGCCCCCAGAGCTCTTTGTCCTTTCTTGCTTACGGGCGCTAGGTGTGCCCCATAAGGAGTTCTTTATGGCATGCCATAAAAGGTGACGTAGTGGATGAGGCATTTGGCTGCTAACCAGAAGGTCAGTGGTTCAAACCCATGAGCTGCTCCTTGAGAGGAAGATGAGGCGATCTACTTCCATAAAGATTTACAGCCTTGGGAGTAATCAACTTGATGGCAGCGGGTTTGATTTTCTTGGTTTTAGCCATACCCCATACCTCTTCCCCCACTTCCACAGTCCTTTCCTGCCTCTCCTTAGGGTCCTGTCATAAGGCCACCAGACAACCACTGAAGTGCTATGGTATGCATCATGTTACAGTGGGGCCCTCTACTCTTGGGCCTCTCTGGGGGAGAAGATTGAACCTGGAATAGTGGCTGTGCTGTACACTGAAAATTGAGTTCATTATTCGCCAGAACCCTCACTCATAAGAGAAGGGAGGCCCAGTGGGGCCATGCTTACAGCTTTGCCCACTGTTACTGCAAAGTCATGTCTGAGAGGCCAGTGGTGAAGAGCCAAGCAGAGCCATGGAGCTTAGAGGTGGGGACCAAGGATTCAGTATCTAGATGGAGACAGGTCCTCTGGGAACCATGAAACCTCCCCTTCATGAGTATGGGAGGGAGAAGGCGGCAGGATGCCCCAGGCACTCAGGGAGCCTAGAAAAATGGGTGCTCTGGAGAGGCCTGCCCTGTAGGGCCTTCCTCGCCAGGGGAAGGAGGACTGGCCAGCCAGCCAGAGCCGGTCAGACCCAGATGCATTGTGGAGGGGCTTCTGCCTTCAGCTCCCAGGAGGCCTTCAGAGGCGCTGATGTTCGGCCTGCCATTGAAGATTATCTTAGGAAGGGGTGCATTGACGGGGGAGAGTGCCTGCAGCTCTCATCAGACTCTCCCTAGCATCAAGAAAGAGGGGAGAGAAAACAGCAGCTGTGTCCAGGATCAATCCGTAAGGGGTTTATCCTTACACTGGGTAAAAGCCAGGCTTCACCCACCCAGCTGGAGCCACTTGGGGATACTGAGGGAGTTTTGAATGCTTGGTTCTCACTGGAGGTGGAGCACCTGTGAGATTGCTGAGGGAGGGCAGGTAGGTATGGGAGGGGTGGGGCTGCGATCTGGGCCCTGGTTGGTTGAAAACCCTCCACAGTTTCTCCAAACCCTTGTGGTAAGCCCCAACTTCCTATATTGTGCCCCAGGACTGCCACACTAAAGGGCTACAAACTGGGTGGCTTGTAAGAATAGAAATATATTGTCTCATGGTGAAGACCAGAAGCCCACATTGAGGATGGCAGCAGGCCCGTCTCCAAAGGCTCTAGGGGAAGATTCTCTCTCGTCTTTCCCAGCTTCTGGGGGCCCCAGGTGTTCCTGGCCTTGCAGCTGCAGCATTAGCTTGTCATCTTATGGCTGTCTTCCCTCTGTCCATCTGTCTCTTCTCCTCTTTTATAAGGACACCACTCATGTTGGACCCACCCTACTCCATCATGACCTCATGTTAACTGATAAAACCAAAACACAAACCTGTTGTCAAGTTCAACTCATGGCGACCTCATGTGTGCAGAGTAGAACTGCTCTTCTTAGGGTTTTCAAACCCCCCCCCCCAAAAAAAAAAACCACTGCAGTTGAGTTAATGCCAACTCATAGTGCCTCTAGAAGACAGAGTAGAACTCCCCGCAAAGAGTTCCCAAGGCTATAACTTTATAGGAGCAAAGCCCAAACCAAACCCACTGCTGTCAGTCAATTCTGACTCACAGCGCCCCAGAGGGCAGAGCAGAACTGTGTCAGAGGGTTTCCGAGGCTGTCAATCTATAAAGATTGCAGACTGCCTCATCTTTCTCCTGCTGAGCAGCTAGTGGGTTCAAACCACTGACCTTTTGGTTAGCAGCCTAATGCTTTTCTGCACTGCACCATCAGAGGGCTATCGTGGCAGTGATGTTTTGTAAGCAGATTGTTGGGTCTTTCTAGATGTCCCTGGGTGGGTTTGAACTGCCAGCCTTCCAGCTGAGTAGTTTTTCACCACCCGGAAACGCCATCCTTAACTGATAACCTCATTCCAAATAAGGTCATTTCACAGCACTGCTGACTAGGACTTCAACATCTCTTTCTTGGGAACACAGTACAATCCAGAATGCTAGCCCTTCCCCATCCTGCCCCTGCACGCCTTCCTCTGGGTCCCAGAGAGCCCTGGGTCACCTGCCTGGCTGCACACCCCTAGCAAAGGCCAAGCATTTCCCCTCCATTCCTGAGCATCGGCCAGTGCCTGGCCCAGAGCAGAGCTCAGAGAGTCTGTTGTTGTTGTTATTGTTATGTGCCGTGGAGTCGGACCTGACTCATAGCAACCCCTCCTTGGGTTTCTGAGGCAGTATCACTATGGAAGTAGATGGCCCAACCTTCTAGGAACCAAGAATAAGTCAGCAGAGCCCATTGTTGAATGAGATGTTTCTGCAAGTCTTGTGCTTGGCGAGCAGGGGAGAACGTTAGAAGACCAAGGCCCTCAAGCAGATAGGTCAGAGATTCTGAAAAATTAAAATTTCCTCTGGCTGTTGGGGGGAAAAGAAACGCCGGGACCTGGGCAGCAGGCTTTAGCTTAGGGACACCCAGTAAAATTGGGCTCTGTGTTTTCTGTGCCTGGGCCAGGCCATTTGAGAAGTACCTACTGTATATGTGGGAGATGGGAAATGAGTGGGGTTCCAGCCTGTAAAGGAAGTGGCTCAAAACGTGTTGCCCTCCCCTACCCACTGTCCCTGACTCCTCAAAGGAACCGAGCCAGCTGGGATCCTTGAGGTCATTTGGTTCAACTTCCTATTAGAGGGATGAACAAAGGACCAGAGAGGAGGTGACCAGTCCAGGGTTACATACGCAGTCATTGTCAAGGGAGGGGACAGCTTCCTGTTTTCACATTTAGACTTAGCTCATGACACCCCTACACCATGCAGCCAGGTGATGACAAGGTCAGGAAGGAGCCTGAGTTCCCCAGTCCCAGAGTGCTCACTGTTGGCCTGCCCCCATTGATCGATTTATCGCAAGCAGGAAGGGTGGGCTCCACAAGCTGTTTTCAACATGCATCTTTATTCCTTTTTTTTCCCTGGGGGTCTAGGCGGTCTTTTGGTACAGAGTCTGCAGACTGGCTGGGCAGGTCCTGCAGGTCTTCTGAAGGCTGTGGGTGGCTGAAGGGCAGAAGCCTGGCCTAGGGCATCAACAAGGCCCCGAGAGTAGACCCAGTGGAGACCAGAATGGCCTTGGCTTTGAGGGAGAGTCCAGCTGCCCCTGCAGGAGAGGAGAGACTGGTCTGAGGGGTGCCGGCCACCCAGGAGGCTCAGAGACCACACCCAGCACCCTCCTGTTTTCCTGCATGTCCCAGATCTCTGCTTGGGGAAAAGCCTCTATAGACACATAGACCTGAAGTCTGGTGGCAAAACCAAGAGCTAGCAGCTGCCTCACAGCCCATGGAAAAGGGCTGAACCCCAGGTTGGGGAAGAGATGCATCAAGTCACCCAGCAAATCTTTGCACAGAGTTGGTAGAACCCAGAGGGCCCTCCGACCAGGGCTTCTTCTCTTCTTTCTCTGCCTCCTTCAGAGAAATCCAGAAGAAGACAGAACAGGAGGCAAGGGACCAGAAATGCTGAGGCTCATGGGGGCTGGATCCTCTGATCCTGCCCCCCCGCCCCCGCCCCCGCCCCCGCCCCCAGCGAGCCCTGAGCATCACACTTACCCACTGACTGCAGAATAGACACCAGGCTGCCCGCAGGAACTCCGCCGCCATTGGCAATGGCTACTGAAGACATCATCTTGGCAGCGATGGAGGAGGCTGCAATTCCAGCCCCGGTGAAGCCCAAGGCACTGAGCACCACGGGCACTGTTCCCACGGCCACAGCTGTGGGAAAGGAGCTACGATGTGGAGGATGGACACAGGGGAATGCCCCCCACCCCCTTGGTCAAGCTTGTGGGGCATCAGGGGGCCCACAGAAGGGGCTGAACTCTGGGCTTGAGAGACAGCGGGGTATAGGACAGAGGTCGAGTCAGGGAGGCAAGGCTAGGTCGGGAAAGCTGAGGGGGGACTGGGAAGGTCACTGGGGGCTGGGACTTGGGCTGGGCTCTGACTTGCAGCAGGACCTTCCTGGGGAAAGTCCCCTGTCCTCTGAGCCTCAGTTTCTGCCTCAGTGAAGTGCTGGTAGGGAGCCCTGGAGGGGCAGTGGTGAAAGCATTCGGCCGCTAAGCAAAAGATCGGCAGTTTGAATGCACCAGCTGCTCCGCCACACTGGAGAAAGTGGAGCCAGTCAGCTTCTGTAAAGATTGCCTGCCTGGGAAACTCTCTGGGGCAGTTCTACTCTGTTCTCTAGGGGTGCTGTGAGTCAGAATCAACTCAATGGCTGTGGGTTTGGTTTGCAAATGCTGGAACAAAGGAGTTGTTTGCAAGCTTCCTGTTTGGAAATCTTTTATGCAAGCAGATCTTGCCAAGGGGACTAACATAAGCAGAGAAGGCCTATGTTCAGAGGTTGGCTGCGAGCAGACTCAGGCCTCTGTGCCCTGAGTGCCTGCGGCAGCTCTGGCCTCCACCGTGTCTCCACTAGGCCAGGGGATCTGAGCAATGGCCCTTGTGGAATCACGTACTATGTTCCAATTCAACGTGACTCGTCCTAGGTAATCCTCCCGATATCCCGTCATGGGCCCTATCGGTTATGTTTTTCAGAGGAGTCGAGACATACCTGGCGTCACACCATGGTTGCTCTGTACAGGGGACAGTGGGCCCCCACTCCAGCTGCCTCACCCCTGTTGTCTCCTGACCCTGCTCCAGTGTTTCTGTGTCTCTCCATCATCCTCCCTCCCTCCCTCCCCATCCCAGCCACTTGATGCCTGGGGGAAATCTGGGCATGGGCAAGGCCAGTTACTCCCCAAGTCCGGGGCCCCAGGGCGGGTGGGGACCCGAGCCCCTTCCCCGTAGTGACTCACCACTTCCAACCACAGCAGCAGTAGTCTTGGCTGGAGACGAAAAGAACATTCTGTGAGTGGGGCTCGCTGGCCTCCCGGCCACTGCCTGAGCCCACTGCCCCACAGAGAGCGGGGTGCCCTGGGTTGGGAGTTACAGGAAGGAATGACCCCTGCCTGCTCCATCCTGCTTCCTCCCACCCAGGGACATTCCTGAGCTCGGGGCGATGGTTAGGGAGTCTGACTTCAGAAGGAGAGTCCTGTCATGAGGGGATTTCCGTGGCCTGGCGTTATGGGAAGGAGCCCTCAAGGTGCAGTGGTTAAGCACATGGCTGATAACCAAAAGGTCAGTGATTCAAACCTACCAGCTGCCCCATGGGAGAAAGATCTGGTAGTCTGGTTCCATGGAGATTTACAGCCTTGGAAACCCTATAGGGGCGTCCTACTCTGTGCTATAGGGTTGCTATGACTTGGAATCAACACAATGGCAATGAGTCTGGCTTGGGACAGCTTTGGTGCTATGAATAGATTTGTGCCCCCAAAAAAGATCTGCTCAATCAGGCCCTAACCCCCAAACCTTAGAATGTGACACTATGTGGGAATCAGAGCTTGGCAGATATAATGAGTTATGTAATCAGGTGGGCCTTAATTCAATATGTCTCATATCCTTATACAAATAGAAGAGATACCAATACAGACAGACATGGGACTGACAGGTTTGTGAGGATGGAGGCAGAGATTGCTGTGATATAGCTACAAGCCGAGGAAAGCCTGAGACCGCCAGAAGCCGGGAGAGACAGAGACAGAGAAGGATCCTCCCCTCAAGCCTCTGAAGAGAGCAGGGTCCTGCCGACATCTTGATATCAGAATTCTGGCCTCCAGAACTGTGTTGTTTAAGCCTTGTACTAACCAAACCAAACCAAACTTACTGCCATTGAGTCCATTCCGACTCATAGCGACTCCCTTTGGGCTTCTGAGGTGGTAAATCTTTATGGAAGTAGATTGCCCAGTCTTCCTTCCACAGAGTGGCTAGTGGGTTTGAACCATCAACCTTCTAGTTAGCAGTCAAATGCCTAGGCACTACGACACCGGAGCTCCTTAAGCCTCGTACTGGGCTCAGGTTTTTTCCAGATCCCCAGTCCCTGGACAGGGTCCTTGGCCTCTGCTCCCCACCCTTCCACCTAGCTCCTCTCTCTAGCTCCAGGCCCTCCTGAGATACTCACCCAAAGAAGGAAGGCCAACCAGGGAGGCCCCAGTGGCCAGTCTACCCATGTTGACCATCCTCATTGCTGACATCATGCCAAAGGCCAGGTTAGAGGCCCAGACACTTGTGACGGCAAATGCCATGGCACAGAGAGGAGCGCAGACGTGGCCACACCTGCCAGAGGAGTGGGGCTTTGGTGAGGGTTTGGGGATCCCAGGACTAGCATCCCACTCACTGTCATGAAACACATGGGGGAGCAGGGACAAGGAGGCTGCTCTGAATTTGTGCAGGCAGTAGACACAGAAAGGGTCTTGGGGTGAAGGAAGGAGGGATGTGGTGCTGAGGGTGCTGAAGGGCTCGAGCTTCTGGAGGGGCCTGGGGCATCTTATGTTCCCAGGTTCTCTGCATCTTCGCCCCTGAGAACCCCAGCGCCAAAGTCATACTTCAGGGATGTCCTTACGTCTCCCCAAAGCCATGGGAAAAGCTCCAGAATTAGGAAAAGTGGAACCTCTTACAGTTTTAAGACATAGTCTGTGGTCAAGGTGCTATGGGTACCTGCTGCAATGTAATGCCCTTGCTAAGCCCAGAAGGAAGGGATGCCTGGGCCCGTTGTATAAACAGGTTATACAGGGGCTGAGAGAGCATAAGTGATTCACCCAAGGTCACAGGGGTCCCACCCAAATGAGACAGGACCCAGGTTCAGCTGCTTCACTGGGCTGGTAATGGCTCTGAGTTGGTTCTTCCTGTGACTGACTGTAAGCCCTAACCACCTCACCCCTCCAAATCCCAGCTACTGGTGCCTGAGGGGGCCTAGGAGGTGGACAAGTGTGGAAGATCCCAGAGTCCCTGGGCACAGGGGCAGCCAGGGCCGTGGGCCCCATCAAGACCCTCTTTTTCTGATCACAGATGTGGCAGCCTGATGGGGCTAGAATAGAATGGTCAGTCAGTGGGCGCACGCTGGCAGCCCCTCTAGTCCCTGAGCCCACCATCCACCTGCGGTCAGGCCACCACCCCTCCCTGTCTTACCTACAGGAACAGATCTCCCAAGAATGTGTCTGGAATGTCTGCTGCAGATATTTAAAGTATTCCTGCACTTAATGCATAGCCCACAAGGGATGCAGGCAGCCAATGAGGTAAGTTTCATTTTCTGGAGAAGTGAAACCAGAATGTTGCTCTCTTTGTCCACCTTCCACTGGCAGTTAAACTTATTTACTTTGGGGGTAAGGCATGCCCTATGTAGGAATGAAATTCCTAAGAAATAGGATCAAAGTTACATGGTAAATGGATGAATATTAACGTCTAATGGAGACAAGTTTTGGAATGATACTAATCCTTATAATGGCCAGGTGTTCAGTTATTCAAAGAGTCTCGTTATGGACTGAACTGTGTCCCCCAAAAAGATGCATTGGATATTTGAAAATATTATTAACAGGTTATAATGGAGTAAGGTGTGTCCTAATCCCACATGCCTGGTGTGTCCTTATAAAAGAGAAGAAGAGACAGGGAGAGAGAGTTGGGGAAGGACCTATGACGCTGTAGCTGCAAGCAGGGAACACCTGGAGCTACTAGAAGCTGAAAGAGTATGGAACAGATTGCCCCTGGGAGCCTCCGAAGGACAACATGGCCAACACCTTGATTTGTACTTCTCGCCTCCAGAACGATGACAATAAATTTCTGTTCTTATAAGCCACCCCATTTGGGGATTTGATTACAGCAGCCCTGGTCTACCCTGAGGGCCTGCCATGCCAGACATTGATTTATGCACTGAGGTAGAGCAGGCAAATGTGCTGCCAAAGATCTCTTTATAAAGTGCTGAAGAGCAAAGATGTCACTTTGAGGACTAAAGTGCACCTAGCCCAAGCCATGGTATTTTCAATCGCCTCACATACATGTGAAAGCTGGACATGAATAAGACAGAAGAAAAGTTGATGCCTTTGACTTGTGATGTTGACGAAGAATACTGAAAATATCATGGACTGCCAGAAGGACAAACAGATCTGTCCTGGAAGAAGTGCAATTGGAATGTTGCTTAGAAGCAAGAATGGCCAGACTCACCTACTTTGGTCATGTTGTCACAAGGGACCAGTCTCCAGAGAAAGATACCATGCTTGGTAAAGTGGAGGGTCAGCAAAAAAGAGGAAAACCCTCAAGGAGATGGATTAACACAGTGGCTGCAACGATGGGCTCAAGTATAGCAAGGATTGTGAGGATGGTGCCTGACCAGGCAGTGTTTCATTCTGTTGAACATGGGGTCACTATGAGTAAGAGTCGACTCGACAACACCAAATAACAGCATCCACACAAGGGTGCCATCCTCCTGATTTACATTATTAGAAATCTGTCCAATCCCCTTGGTGGCCACACACACCTTATTTGCATAATCCCACCCAATTATTTGGCAGGAATTACAAGACCATGACTAGAAAGGTCACATAAAAACAGTCTATCATACCTCAGGCTTTTGTAGGTATGATTCTTTTATAGTTGGAGGATAACTTCCACCTTACAATCATTTTGCCGGTCCCAAACAGTCATTAACTGGTGGGGACCAAGAAAAAGACCCCCAAAAGAACATGACTGCAAGGCACATGTTCTAATTACAGTTGAGATGACAAGGCTTCTCTTGTGGTTGAATGTTTGCTTTAAGAGATGGCAAGGTCTCTCTCATGGTTAAATGCTTAATTGGCAATACATCAAGTATTAAAAGTAGATGTTATTCCAATAGTCCATATTTTTATCTTATT